CGGGTCATTACGAACATCAGTTATGAAAAAAACACTAAAGTAAGTTTTATTTTATATTATAATAACTAGCTGTGCCTGCGACTTCGTTCGCAGAGAATCTTTGTTGGTTACTAATGTATATGTTTTGAATGTAATATTTTTAAAGACACTACGGGTTACTTACAAATGGTAAATCCTGAATGGATATTATATTTAAAATATAATTTAGTAACGTAGATATGCACTAAGAAAACATGAAAAAGAATTTGAGGGGAACAGTTACTGTCACAGAAATAGTAATATTATGACAACATTATTACAATTTCTGTGGTTACTATAATCTTTATATAATAAATTTGACAGACACGACTTTTCTACAAATTTATTAATTCTATATATAATAAATTTGTAGAAAAGTCGTGTCTGTAATTCTAATATTAGTAGCCAAATTAGTGGTTTTTAAAATATTCGTCTGTCTGTTCATCTGTCTGTCTGTCTGCCGACTGATTTCCATGATTTACATTTTGTATGCAGGTAGTTAGTAGCCCGAGGATACTTACAGGCTAATTTTTATCCGATTATGAAACTTCAAAAAAGAAGGTTAAAAGTATTTTCAGTTCTTCGCAGGATGACTGGTATTTTTTAAAATAAATACCATATTTATAAATATAGTTTCAAATTAGTTTTAACTTTTGTTTCATAATTTGAAACTACACCGGCAATTTACATTTCAGTTTTGCAAACAGCTTCATTTCTGTTCTCAAATAGAAAAAGTATATTTTGTGTTCAGTTACAATTAAGTAATATAAAATATAATTAAATAAATTACATTTATATGTTAAAATATTTTTTCACATTTTTTAAGTGTTTTTATTTTAAAAGTGTAATCATTTAAATAGATAATAGTTGCGTTTATCAAAAATATGAAAATCTATATGGTTTTTAGTTCAAATACGTTAACAGCTGATTTAAACTGGTGGCTATGCCCGTAATTATTGCAAATTTCTCATTATCCTTATAGTTTGATGACAGATTTTTATATTACGTCGTGGTCAAATCGTAGACTGATCATATCTTAAAAGTAGTCTATCATTTCGTAAAATAGTAGTCGTAATTTAATAATGTTTGTTAACCAAGTCATAAGGTAACTTGTGCGAATCAATAATAATAGAAGATCGTTTGACGATATTAAACTTAAAAACTAAATGACATTGTTATTTCATTATATTATGGTCTGTAGCGGCGCTGTCGTCGCGCCACTAGTACACCGAAACACATCGAAGCCTAAATCGCGCTATTAACATTCCGAATCATAGACAGTATATATAGAACTTCTCCGACTCGGAGTGTTGACCGCTCCCCGGGCAGAACGCCTTGCCCGGCGGGAGATCTCCCCTTTTCCTTCCTACCACGGCCAGTGGTGACCACCCGACGTAATCTGAACACGCAACCAACAACCTTCGGAAACTTCAAGCCTCATCAACGTCATAGAATACCCCACCCATTCGCTCCCGAACAGATATGGTCTGCAGTCTTCATATCCTGCAAGCCATCTAGCTTCACAAGGTTCATCGCAGCACTGGAATAATAATGCTTCCTGTTCCTTCAAGCTACTCTCTGCGCCATACAGTGTTCGACAAGGCTCTGAGCCTTATTGCTCGCCTCTGCTTCACGGCACTCTCGCAGATTACTTGCCTTCTTCTCGACTCACCGCAGACTACAAGGCAATCTCCATAAAAAACGAACAATTGAAGTAACGAATCCTAATCTATGGAAAATATGGCTTATGTTCTACAATAGACTTTAATAGGCTGTAAATAATGAACGAATGACGGGCAATATCATGAGACAGCAGAAAGGAAAATGAATATAGAATACTTTCGTAATCGCTTTATTGGTAAGTAGTTGTGGTGGAACGAGAAAAGAGGAGACAGACCTGACTTTTTATGATGATAATGCTGTTAACCTTTTGGCTTCTACAGGTTCATCTGTCTCAAGGTTCGCGGCCTGGGAGCTGTAGAAAAAGGTTAATTTAACGTTCTTCTTGTTTCTTTGTTCTTGTTCTTCTACGACCGTTTACAGTGTTCGTAGATGAGTTATATAATGGCCATCCTAACAGTGGGTGGCGGGTCCCAGCTCTGACGGTTAACTCACAGACGCGGGTGTACGGAATTTAGGCGGTGTGGAGGGGTGTGTGGGGCGGCCATCTGCGGACTCGCTGCGCCTCTTCTGTTGTCCTAACAGTGTTTGTGGCACTAGCTAAAGCTAAGTGTAGTGTTTGTGCGTGACGGACCAGTGACATTTTGGTCGTCGGAATCTAGCGGAACTGGAGTTTCGATTAAAACGTTACGGGGCCTCCTGAGACTTTCAGTATCGTTTGGAGTCGGAGCATAGGTGGCTGAATTTACCACTATTTGTGGTCGGGTTATGGTGTCGGCCCTCTCAAAGTAGCACCGAGATACTTCCTTGTATATTGAGATCATCGGATCAACTGACAGTCTGTGTGCAAGTCGGAGTTTCACTGGTACCACCGAGATCCAGTGGCTGTGCGAATAAATTCATTTTGGACGACTTGGAGGTCGTATAAATTACTATGAGCTGAAAAAAGCGAAGAGCAAACTGTCTCTAAGACACAACTCCACCTTTACAAAGCTTTTGTAAGACCTTTCATGTGCTACGCAAGCTGTGGTTTTAAAAATAAAGATAGAGATCTAAAAACTTCAGTTGATGTATCAGAATAATTTGGTAATCTGAGTGGTTGACGATCCTCTTCGGTAAAATGAAGGTACCTTTGTAGTGTTTGTAAATATAACATCCACTTCTTTCGGTCTTCCGTCTTACTATTCATAATTTGCATTTCAATCTAACCTAACCTTTTTTACTTATTTTAATTTTTCAATCAATCCAGAGACCCGAGACAGTCTCATTTTCAATAACGATAACGAAATTAGATAACTCCGAAATGTATGAAACTGACATAAGCTTTCGAAATGTCACGTGATCGATCGTTTTCGATCGCTAATTGCTTGACGATGTCAAACCGCGTAAAGAAACGATAAAGAAAACTAATAACACGAGCGATATTATCTTAGCAGCGTAGACAAGTGGCACTTTTCACATTCGAAAACGCTGAGAAATCGAACCGTTGATTCGACAACTTAGCGAATGCTTGAACCCTTTAGAAAAGCATAACAACATGGCTGATTGTTAGTCAGCTGTTGGTATTATTTGCATCAATTCGTGCTCCTTTCCCGTGGTTTTTTGATAAAAATGCACACATTGCATTTACTAAGGGCTACGCATGAGAATGTGTGGTTAAGACGAAAAAATTAAACAATTACCGGCAAAAAATGGAAAGAGTGAAAGATATGCCTTAGTTACTGTTTGTTGTACATATTTCCGTTTGAAAGAGCACCTTTCGGCGGCTTTGTAATGATTTACACAAACAATATCTATATTTATTAATTGAACATTATAGCGTGTGTAATTGCAAAAATATTAGTTATGTAGACGTTAGACTTAGACTAGGAAAATTACTACCACAAAAGTAAAGTAACGCGATGTGACCATTCCTTTTACAAGTTTTTTGTGTGTTTGTATATTATATATTTAATGTTTGTATATTAGATCTCGCAACTTTTTGTGGTAGAAGGATTCCATTGCGAGACTTGCGTTTTTTGATTGTATGGGATCTATCAATTAATAAATCAGTCTACATTTATAGAGACGACATTTTAAATATTTCTTATTGGGTGTCATCATCACCTGTGCTTGTCCCAACTTGATTGGTGTCAGCGGCGTACGTGGCACTTTCCTTTCATACTCTTTCAACCTTCATCTTTGTATCTACATGCTCGCAGCCCATCCATTCTGGATGTGTTACTAAAATAAAAATAGTCAGAAGAAAATGTTATAATTCTATAATTTAACCAATTCCTTTATTTTATTAAACCTACTTGAATAATAACTTAATAATAACTGTCTACATACACTTAACCATTTACTAAATAAATGACAATATTAAACTTTAAATACTATCAATACTAAAAATAAATCTAATTAGTATTAAATTTAAAAATCTTTAAATCAGTTGAAAATAAAGTTTTTCTAACATTATCTTAAATTAGTTTTTACGGACGAATTTCAATAGTATCAATATCTAAGCTTGAGGTCGCGGGTTCGATTTCCGGGTCGGGCAGTGGTTATTGGGTTTTTCCATTAAAATTTTCTCAGTAGCAGCTTGGAGTCTGAATTAAAAAAAATCCAATTAGTACTAAATTTAAAAATCTTTAAAGCATTTGAAAACAAGGCATTTCTAATATTATGTTAAAACTAGATTTTACGGACGAATTTCAATAGTAGTCGATATCTAAGTGTGAGGTCGCTGGTTCGATCCCCGGGTCAGGCAGTGTTATTGGGTTTTTTCATTAGAAATTTGTCAGTAGCAGCTTGGAGTTTGAATAAAAAAATCCAATAAGTACTAAATTTAAAAATCTTTTAAGCAGTTGAAAATACAGTATTTCTGACATTATGTTAAACTAGTTTTTACAGACGAATTTCAATTGTGGCCGATATCTAAGCGTGAGGTCACGGGTCGGGCAGTTATTGGAATTTTCCATCAGAAATTTCTCAGTAGTAGCTTTGAGTCTGAATTTGTGTCCGGATAATGGCAATAGGTTCACCCCCTGTTACATGGTACATGTAACATTGTATAATAATTGGCAAAATGTGGATGTACAGTACAACTCTGCCTACCCTTCCGTGGAATACAGACGTGATAAATTTCCTACCTATGGAGTATGATCTAATTGCACTGTATTGTCTTTACTCCGATAGTAGTCAAACGATGCTTGAGTTATGTCTGCAAACGTGCGTAACACTTGATTACGCTCGTGGTCAACCTCTATCCTACCTATCAGATAATACAGCTGCCTGTCTCGTTTCTCCTCCTGCCGAAGATGTAGATGTTCGATGACAACGAACTTGTTCGCCGCTCTATAGAATGACGCGAATGTACACATTCATTCGTCCTTCGTGCAGGGGAAGCCGCTACCCCAGATATCAGGGTTGATGGTAACCGTTGCCTGCTGGTTGGCGGAGGGGTAGAAGGTGCAGGTTGCAACCTTGAACTCCTTCTCACAGATTGATCGAGGGGAGGATTGATTGAGGGTGTTTGTGTGCAATGGCAGCCAGCTAGTAGATGGCGTAGGAGTAGCAGGCGCACGATATTGCCATATATTCTGTAAAAAAATTTACTTGAATTCAAATACCTAGTTAATAAAGTATTAATAAAATATTTAGAATTTAGATATAGATAGATGGACATACAATCGGCTGTTGTGATTACAAAATCAATCGCATCTTGTTGGTGTGTGGCCAGTGGTAGACTCAGGGCCTGTGTTGGCATTAAGTTGTGATAGTCCCTGCAAAAAAAATTACTTTAAATCTTCATTTAAGTTGTACCTAACCATAACATATCCTATAAAAAACTAGTGATATTACTCATTTAATGATATACACACATTTAGTAGTTTAGTAGGTACACATTTTTAAATATTCAAGTGATCAGTTAACCTTGAATTTTTTTATAGGATAGGGTGACATATGCCCCGGTGGGGGGGGTGTGGCTTCTAAATTATCCTCTTTTTAATTAAAACAAAAATGGTCAGGCAGGGGGACCGGGAAGGAATGGGTTGCTTTCTTTAATACCTCTAATCTCTCCTCTCCCCACCCTACCAAACCCACATTATTTTTTTTTTTTTTTTTGGGGGTTGGCGGTTCGTCCTCCCCGCCCTCTTTCTCTATTACCTTAAAATATCTAATACTCCCTCCCTCATAAAAAAATAGATTACATATATCTTTTTTTTTTACTCCCCCCACCCTCAACTTTCCTTACCCCCCGGGGGGTTGGTGTTTTCTTCTTTCTTTTTTTTTTTTTTTTTTTTTTTTTCTCCAAAAAAATGGTACTTTTTTTTTTTTCTTTTTTTTCCCCCCCTTTTAAGCCCCCTTGAGGCCCATTGGGTTTAATATTGCAATGAAAGATGGGCAATAAGCAACTGATTGTTAGGATCACGTCATTGTTTACATGGAGCATTCTCAAGTCACTTGAATTTAATCAAGTTCATGGTTTAGGTGAATAATTCCTTATATTTTATATATTTCCATGAACTACAAAAGGGTCGAAAATTGTTCACCACTAGCTCGCACTCGTGGTTCCATTATAATTATCCTTAAAAATAGAAAAAAACAGTCAGTTCCCCCTTGTTTATCGTTATAAATATGTAATATACTCACAACCATCGATATCCAAAAAACTTGTTTAATTTTGGCACTCACAATTAATTGAAGTTAAGGGACTTACCTTTGAATTATTTAGTTAATTAATTAATTTTAACACCAGTAACTAAACAAACTTTACTTTAATATGTTTTATTAAGTATGTTTTGTTTATATTTAGCGCGCCGGTCGACACAATTGACGTGTTGAATTTGACGTATGACGTTTCATTTCGAGACCATAGCCACCTTTGTACCTTTCCTTGTAAAACGTTATGAAAACATTCACAAATACAATTTACTTTTACTTCATCACACGTTTTAAGTAATGCTTTTTAATATTTTGGTTTAAGTATATGCAAAGCGTTTAGCAAATGTTTAAAATTTCTTGTGAGTCGACGATGCATCATTTAGAAATGATTTTAATTGTCAATCATCAATGGGTGCGTTTGGCAGAAAAAAGCGCTAGCAAACGCTTGTAAGCAAAATGGCGATCGTAAGCGGTAAGTGCTGTCAAATCGTAAGTAGCTATTTTCCTCTAGGGCACGATGTTAGTTTTAACCGGGGAACCTAACCTAATTTAAATATATGTTTGTAAAGTATTCATATTAAAAACTTACCAATCATGAATTTTTAATAACATGTATATGTTTATTCATGTCATTATAATACTTAAAACTAATATTGCACAAAACAACTTTTAAACTCTACTTCAAACAAACAAATTAAATAAGCAAAATGGCGGATTATGTCAGCGCTACTGAAGTAGCAATCGTGTTATGGCCGAAAACTATTTTAGCGCTTGTAAGCGCTTGCTAGCGCTTTTTCTGCCAAACGCACCCAATAATTGATGTATTTTAACAGTGGTAGAGCCATGCAGCGCAAGTAAGCGTTGCTGTTGCACGTATGGGCCGGCTCAAACCAGGGTGGTACCACGACCTCACAGAATAACGGCATAAAGTGGAAGCTCTGCTTCCGAGTTTCGTCTGGTGAGTGAAGGTGGCCGAAGCCCCAAATTCCCCGCCCCCATCAACATGGTAGCGGAATTAAATGTCAAACTACCCCAGGAGGGTACCAGCACCCCTGGAGAATCCCTCGCTGAGCATCAACGACCAAGTTACTCCACTCCTGAGCGTGGGTGCTCAGGCTGCCCCGCGTAGGCTCAGGCTGCCCCGGGGGCAAAATTCCGCTCAAGATTACAACTGCTCGGGGTAAACGGAGCAACAAGACCAAGGCGACCCCTGCCACGCTATGCGTGAATTTCTGCAACATCAGGGGACTTAATTCTAACCTAAACGCCGGCCACTACCATCTCGAGACGGCGAGGCCGGCTCTGCTCTTTATGACCAAGACGCAGGTGTCCTCTGGCTGATGCTTCGTATCTCTCCTACACAGGGTACAAACGGGAACACTCCTTTGTGCCTCGGACTGGAGTTTACGTATAAGTCAGAGAGGACAGCTGTTGTTGACGCCTCGGCAGTCTTGAAGTTTCGGACCTGTCTATCCTTTGGCTATGCGTAGACAGCAACGACCATCCGCGCGTCTATGGGTGCCCCTCTAGGTCCCATAGCGGTAGTGCCGAAACAGACCAACTTTTCGACCACGTCCAAATGACTACAGATTCGTTGCTACCGCAGACCCCCTCTGCGATTTTAACGCCCACCACGCCGAATAAACCAATCATGCGTGAGATCTGTTCATGATTTTGCCTTGGCATATGGTCTGACACAACTGGTTACTTCGCCTACGCGGATTCCAGATGTGGAGGATCATGCACCTTCCCTGTTAGACCTTCTGATGACCTTTTATCTGCACTGATGTCAGATTTCCGTCGACGCCCCTTTAGGCTCCTCGGACCATTGTATTGTCCGGAGTGTGGTGCCTCTCACATTGAAATCGCGGTTGCATTGTGCAGGCTGCCGCTATGTTTGGCACTATGGGTCAGCCGATTGGGATAGGATGCGGTCTTTCTTTGCATCCTACACTTAGGGGCGGGTTTGCTTCTCGCCGGTCGATCCCAAAGCTGCTGCTGATACTGTCGCTGATGTATTTCAGTAGTACTTCAGGGTATGAAACTTTTTATTCCTTCCTATGTGGTGCCCATCGGAGGCAAATCTCAGCCATGGTTTGGTCACTCCTATAAAATAGCATCATGCTATAAGCAGGAGTGCTACCAAGCCTGGGCTGACGCATCAACGTCCCGGGATGTAAACACCAGCGCTCTAAAAAAGAAGTACAATTCCGCCTCCAGGTTCTTCAAAATAGCCATTCCCAAGGCAAAATCAGAGCACATATGCAGAAATGGCGAGAAACTAGTTCGCCTTCCTTCTGGAACCTGTGCATGCTTGTCTCTTGGGGTATTTCTGTCAGCCATCTCTTCCATCTCTGCACAGGGAGGATGACTCTTTGGCCCATGCCACAAAGGAGAAAGCCGATCTGCTAGGCTCTTTCTTTGCGTCCAACTCGACTCTCGATGACGGGGGAGTACGGCGTCGACAATCCTGCGGTGTGAGTGCTCCATGCCGGAGGTGCAGTTCACAAAGCACTCGGTTCGCAAAGTACTCCTCTCCCTGGACATTCACAAGTCGAGTGGACTTGAAGGAATCCCTCCAATTGTGCTGAGAACGTGTGCTCCAGATTTAGCACCGGTCTTAACGCGTTTGTCCGATACTCCTACTCCCTAGGCGTAGTCCCAAAGTCATGGAAGACGGCTTTCGTCCACCCGATTCCTAAAAAAGGCGACCGCTCAGACCCGTCCAACTACAGGCCTATCGCCATCACCTCCTTGTTCTCCAAAAAAATGGAGTCCATTGTAAACTGCCAGCATATAAGGTACCTTAAGGATCACCTACTGATTAGTGATCGCGAATACGATTTTCTTGGTGGTCGATCAGCTCGTAATCTTCTGGTCTACCTGACTCATAGATGGGCAGTCATTGGCCGTTAGTTTGGACATTGCGAAGGCCTTTGCTCGGGTTTGGCAGAAAGCGCTTCTTTCGAAGCTCCCTTCCTATGGGCTTCCCGAGACATTATGCAATCGGATCACCAGCTTTCTTCTTTTCTGATTACAAGCCTATTAATGCTGGTGTTCCACAAGGCTGCTTGCTATCACCAACGCTGTTTCTTCTGCATATCTATGATATGTTGCAAACCGGCAACATTCATTGCTATGCAGATCACAGCACTGGTGATGCTCTGTACACCGGCCGTGCCAATATTTCTCGGGAAAACGTCTCCGAGTACCGGGACAATCTTGTGTCTAAAGTCGAGTCTTTGCTGAACAAAGTCTCGGATTAGGAGCGACTAAATCTAGTCCAGTTTAACCCTCAGAAGATACAAGTTTGCGCGTTAACCGCTAAAAAGAACCCCTTTGTCATAACTCCTCGGTTTCAAGGCACTCCCCTTGTTGCAGTTCCCCTTGTTGCTTGTTATTGTTGTGCAGTTTCGTGGTCACTTGGAAGAGAGGCCAAATTGTCCTCTAAAACTTTACAAGGCGCAGGATCGGCCTCACATGGAATACTGTTCCCATCTCCGGGCTGGGGCTCCCCAGTTCCAGCTCCTTCTACTAGACCGCATCCAGCGCAGAGCGGTTCGAATCATCGACGACCGAGTGCTTTCCGATAGGCTCGATTCACTGGCGCTGCGAAGAGATGTTACATCTCTTTGCATTTTCTTTCGCATATACCACGGTAGTGCTCTGAGGAATTTTTCGGATTAATCCCAGCCGCCAAATTTCATAAACGCATAGTGCGGCAAACCTCTAGATACAATCCATACCATCTGGATACTTGGCGGTCGACCAATGTACGTCTCACTAGGAGTTTTCTTCCGCGTACGACCTCTCTGTGGAATAGTTTACGACCGGTGATTTTTCCGGACCGATACGACCTAGAGACCTTCAAGAAAAGAGCTCACTCCTTTCTAAAGGGCCGGAAACGCTCCTGCAATTCCTCTGGTGTTGCAGTTGTTTATGGGCGGCGGTAGTTACTTAACATCAGGTGAACCGTTTGCTCGTTTGCCCCCTCTTCTATAAAAAAATTTAAACTCTTTTGTAGGGACGTAGACTGTACAGAAACCATTAAATGGGAAGAAATTTTCTTGATACGCCCAAAATCATTGGTATTCTGTTTCAAATCTACCATTAAATATCCATGCGCCTCTAGAGTTGCAACCCCGTAGGCATCTTCTACGAATTTTGGGTTATCTGGTGACACTTGTCGGGTTAAATATCTTATTCGAGTTTTATAGCGAGGGTTTTCAAAATATATTTTATAACTTGAGTTTAAAGAAATGTCTCTTTGACCTTTACCCTGAAAATTTTGTGTTACATAAAATACACTAAGATTCCTGTGATGACTATCTTTTGTAAAAATATACATAATTCTTACATGAGACCTCTCATTAGATCATCAATAATAACAAGATGTGGGTTTTCACCATCAAACATATTAAGATTTGGAATTTCTTGATTAAGTATAGTTAATACTTGGTAAATTATATAAAGATTTTTTTGATCAAATCACCATATGATCTGATTAAAATCACAATTATATATTTCTGTAACTGATTTTATGAAATTTGTTACAAAATTTGACTTCCCACATCCACTTGGTCCTGCCACAATAGCAGTAAACGGATAGATAAAGTGAAACATTACACACGTCTAAAGTTCTAAGGGATGAAATAAAAAAGTGTTGGTGTAAACAATTAATATATATTGCTAAAATTATATAAAACAGAATGGTCTGTTAAATAATTGTCTGCATTCACTTTTTAGTCAACTTGATGTTTATTTAAACGAACAACTTGTACCACCACCTAATAATACCTACGCATATCGAGCATACATGGAAACCGTTTTTAACTATGCTCCTACTGCTGAACAATCTCGTCTTACTTATACTCTTTGTTATGAGGATACAGCAGGAAAAATGGATTCTACAGATGGTAAAAACATAGAATTTGTTAAAAGACAGGTATTGGTTAATGAAAGTAAGGAAATAGAAATGATTGGACATCTTAACG